TTCCGTACGAATCATATGTGATTAAATATATATAATCACATGTGATTAAATACACAAGAACAACTATTGAATCAACACGTGAAAACAAAAATTGTCCATATAAATCATATCTGATTAAATACATATAATCACATGTGATTAGATACACGATGCCAATTATTAAATCGAAAACACTAAAATAAATACGGCCCACGTAAATAATATTTTATTAAATACATCTAATCATATGTATGTATATGTATCTAATCACAAATGATTTACGTGGACAATATTCATTTTTGCATTCTCGATTCACTAGTTTTTCATGTGTATTTAATCACATGTGATTATATGTATTTAATAACATATAAATCATATGATTCGATACATAGAATCACATGTGACTCGATACATATAATCACATGTGATTAAATACACATGAAAAACTAGTGAATCAAAAACACAATAACAAATATTTGTAGGTGGGGGTGAGGGTGGTGGTGGCGGATGGTATAGGCGGGGTGGTGGTGATTGGTAGTGGTGGTGTGTGGTGATGGGTGGTGGTGGGGTGGGTGGGTGGTTTCAAGTGGTGGTGATAGTGACAGGTAATGGTTTTGGTGGGTGGTGAGTGTGGGTGGTGGAGGTGGGTGGTGGTGACGAGTGGTGCTGGTTGGGTAGTGATGTTGGTAGGTGGTGATGGTGGTGGCGGGTGGTGGTTGGTGGTTGGTGGTGGTGATGGTTGTGGTGGGTGGGTGCTGGGTGGTGTTGGTGGCGGGTGGTAGTGGGTGGTGGATAGTGATGGGTGGTGGGTGGTGGTTGGTGTTGGTGGGTAGTGATGGGTGGTGGTGGCGAGTGGTGGTGGTGGTGGGTGGTGGTTATGGTGGCGGCTGGTGATGGTGGTGGGTGGTGGTTATGGTGGCGGGTGGTGATGGTGGTGGGTGGTGATGGTGGTGTAGGTGGTGGTTGGTGGTGGTGGTGGTTGTGGGTAGTGATGGGTGGTGGGTGGGGGGTGGTGGTTGGTGGTGATGGTGGTGGCGGGTGGTGGGTGGTGGGGGGTACTGATGGGTGATGGTGGTGGGTGGTGGTTGGTGGTGGTGGGTAGTGATGGGTGGTGGTGGCGAGTGGTGGTTGATGGTGGTGGTGGTGGTGGTTGTGGTGGGTGGTGGTGGTGGGTGGGTGGGTGTGATTGTTGGTGGGGTAGTGGTTGGTGGTGGTGGGTAGGGTGGGTGGTTGGGTGGTGGTGGGGGGGTGACGGGGGTGGTGATGGGTGGTATGTAGTGGTTGTTAGTGGTGGGGGTGGCGGGCGGGGTGATGGGTGGTGAAGGTGGGTGGTGGTGTCGGGTGGTGGTGGTTGGGTGGTGATGGTGGTGGTGGGTGGTGGTGGTGGGTAGTGATGGGTGGTGGTGGCGTGTGGTGGTGGTGAGTGGTGGTGGCGGGTGGTGGTGATGGGTGGTAGGTAGTGGTTGTTGGTGGTGGTGGCGGGCGGTGGTGATGGGTGGTGGAGGTGGGTGGTGGTGGAGGTGGTGGTGGTGGGTGGTAATGGTGATGGGTGGTGATGGTGGTAGCGGGTGGTGGTTGGTGGTTGTGGTGGTGGTGGGTAGTGATGGGTGGTGGGTGGTAGTTGGTGGTGGTGGTTAGTGATGGGTGGTGGTGGCGCGTGGTGGTGGTGGGTGGTGTTGGTTGGGTGGTGAGTGGTGTTAGTTAGTGAGTTTTTTTAATTGTTTGTAACTATTTTTGATTTATATGAATATTATTTTATAATTTTAATTAAAAAAGTTGTGTTTTTCAATTTGTTCTCAAATGTTCTCGCGATAAGAAATGTTCTCGTTGAACGCTCCCATATAATATATATATATATATATATATCATATATATATATTATATATATATAATATATATATATATATATATATATATATATATTATAAGACCTCAACGGATTGCTCTAATCTTCTTACAAATAAGTAGAGATATTGATAACTTACCGTCTTCTTTGCAAAGAAAGATTCTTTCTACATTAGTACAAAAATCGGCATTGGCCACACCATAAAAGTGTGACCATATATCGTTAGACACACGTTATTTTTTTCAGCTCAAATGAGATGAAAGACCGTGTCTTTTTAGGTATCATACGAACACATTGAAATTTAGTGGTCGTAGTTACCGGAAAAGTGTGGCTAAAGGGTACCACTATTTCTTGTCGTAATCAAGGATTCCATCCATTAAGTGTGACTATAAACTCTTTTTAGAAACATGCACTCTTTTTATAGTGATTATTGTTCATCTAATGACCATATGCAATTATATTTTGTGTTCCCTTTACTATTATTTAGTCGTAAAAATATTGTTTATTGAGATTTTAGTCACATCGATTTAAGAAAAACGTTGAAAAAATATTGTTGTAATCAAACATTATGTCAAATAAGTGTGTTCATAAACGATTTGTAAATACACAATCATTTTTATCTTGTGACTATTGTTCATCCAACGTCCACATGAATTTATTGTTAGTGTGGTCATATTTATTATTTAGTCACATAAATTATTTTTTATTGAGTTTTTAGTCAAATCGATTAAAAAAACGTGGCAAAAGTGTTATTGTAATTAAACATTTTAACGAAAAATGTGACTATAAAGTCTTTCTAGAGACACATGCGTTTTTTGATAGTGACTATTGTTGATCCAACGACCACATTAATTTATTTTTATTCTGATTTTTGCCAAAAAGTGTAGTTGTAATAAAACATTTGGTCCAATAAGTGTGCCTATAAACTGTTTCTATACACTCAAGTTTTTTTTAAATAGTAATTATTTTTCATCTAATGGTCAAGGAACTAGACACCTATTATAGCCACCGATTATTATTACAAATGCACCAAACACTGAAAATATACAATACAATGTAATAAAAAAACAAAATTTTATTAGTAATAATTCAAAATTCTTACATCAAAAACATAATCACGATTCTTTACATGAGGATGAAAATCGGTGATTTTAGAATGATTCTTTACGTAAGGATGAAAATCGGTGACTTTTAGAATAGTTACCAATTCATAATATTGGTCTTGTAACATCAACCATTAGGTTGTTATCATTACCTAAGAACAACTAACAGCTGCTAACTATATCTAATAATAAGAGGAAGCTCGGAAGAATATCACTTTATTACACTATTTCAAATAGATATGGGTCCCATCTAGAATGCCTTTTAGCTTCAAATCTCATATTTCTACTAACCCATTCTCCTATTGCACCAAAAGAAAATAAGTTTATTAGATTGTCTCAAATAGAAGAAAATTTAATAAACCATAAATGTTCTTTAATATAAAATATACCTTGTTTTGATTTTTCATTAACATAAACCATTATCCTTTTCTTGCTAGGGGAATCCTTATATTGGTCCTTCATGCCTAGTAAATGATTGCTAAACATCTCATTCTTTCTTGGTGAACCTTTATTATCATATTTGCGGCTCATTAAGAAATTTCCTAAAGTCTCTTCATCATTTAATATATTGATGCTAATATTTTCTTCAATATCATATTTTCTTTAATAGCAACAGCTCTTGCATCAAAACCAATCTGATCCAGGTCTTTCAAGACTAGATTATGACCTAAATATTGTAACAATTATTAGAACAGCAGATGGGAACAAAAGAAAATATAAGAAAATGGAAATAGATCTATGCCTCTTCAGCTCATCTTGTATCCATAAGTGGCAATGATATGCCTTCACAAACTTCCTAATTTTGGAGAAAATTCAGAAATAAAAACTAAAATTGTAAAAAGAAATAAAAAATATGTGGCTGAAAAGGTTCTAGTAAAAAAATAAAAATGGGCTAAGATCCATATTCCTCTTTCTCTATGGACAATTGGATATCAAACTCTTTAATTTTAGAATTTAAACTATCTTCTCCTTGGACCCTTTCTTCCAAATAGATCTAAGCACCATTATGTTCATGAAAAAAAAAATACAATTAATACTTGAGAAAAAGGAAAATTTAATAAATAATAATAGTCCGCTTAACTCACCTATCGTTGCTGCTTGTGATCTTCTAACATCTCAAATTTAGATTGCACATGCTTCAACTACACCATATAGTTAAGTGAGATGATTAAGTTGGTAATAAAAAAGACAATGGGAACAACTTTTACCATTCTTTCACGATAACCAACATAAAAAAGTCAATAAAGATAACCCTTAATTAAATTGATCATTGTTGCATGTCTTGGGTCATTACATGAACTTACAATGTTCTTGACCAATCTTCCACCAATGGATTTACATGACCACCTCTCTATATTTACTCCAACCCACCATGAAGCTGAAGGAACCTGCAATGGAATTATAGAACCGGATGCAAGGAATATTCAAAGATAACAAAGATGTAAGAGTTTTTTTAGATAATAAAAATATAAAGTTGATGTTTGATCTGAAAAAATGAAAAAAATGTAAGGGGTAAATCGACAAAAAGAAAAGGTAAAGGGTAAATCGAGAAAATAAAAATTGTAAGGGCTAAATCGGAAAAAAATAGAAAAAATGTAAGAGTTTTTTGAGAAATAAAATAAAGTTGAGTTTTAGTAAGGACATGTCTTTATGTGATTAAACTTTTGAAAAACTTTTAAGAATGATTCAATTATTGTAATAATGCAAAAATAAAATTAATAGGTTTTAGAGACTCCTTGAACCTATTAATGCAAAAATAAACTTTTGAAAAACTTTTAAGAGTATCGGTTATCTTGTGATCCAATGTTAGTAAGTATCCAATAAAAAATCAAATATTATTTTATCTTTTGCGTTTATCCATCCTTCTACTCGTTAGATTATGGTAAATGTCAAGAAAGAAATTTAATATATTTTATATATTATTATTTTATATAATTAAAAAGATGCATAAAAACAAAAATAGAAAAATATTTAATTTCTGTATTCAATTGGTGAAATTGCTTTGTTTGCAGGGTAAAAAGAGTAAATACTAAAAAGTGTTGATGCTGGAATAATTGAAAAGTAAGGATGGCAGACAGCTGGGGGCGACCCAAAGAACAAAGTGACTGTTAGTGGAGCAATTTGTTAAAGAATGTGCTACACATTTTATCTTTTCTTCAATTTGTGGTTTAAAGAGCTCTCGTCTTGCTCAGACTCTCAGTACTAGTTAAGTTCCAACGCCTCAGTTTGTTCAAGCGCTCAAGTATCTGTAATGTTCTTTCACTTTAATATTCAGTAGTAACCTATGATCTTTTTTGTTATTATTAGACTAGTTTTGTGATCTTTACAGTTTGAAAAGCACCAAGCTAATATCAACAAATTAGTTTTCATTTTTTGTCCAAACTTGGTGATTACGAGTTTAATCTGTCTAATTTGATGCTTAAAGTATTAAGACAGTGTTGAATATCAATCTTTGCAATTGATCTTAATTTCTTTATTGTTTTCCTCTTTTTTTGGTTAAGATAAACATATGCTGGGGTTTGAGGAATGTTTGACAATGAAATTTTTAACGCTAGCTCGTGGAAGGATGTTATTGCAATTTCATTCAATTTCACTTTCTCTTAGTAGATATTTAGCATGTTTATTCATCTCTTTTTTAAGGTTAATGTAGTACAAAAACACTCATATTTGTTCCGAAGCAGTAGAATCAATCAAAAAGGCACTTAGGTAATTTGCAAATAAAACGACTTTTCATTCCAAAAAAGAAAACAAGGTTGCAACACAATAAAAATACCCCCCATCCACACACACACACACCAAAACTTAATCAAAATTTTGGTGTTTCTATATAATTAAGCAATGAAAAACCTATTTCTTGATTTCTATTACCATAATCATGTCTAAAATTGTCCAAAGTGAATCATATTTTTACTGTTTCATAAATGACCTGTAAAAAATCATTATTTATTTATTTATTTTGATTGTCAAAACAATATCTTCAAAATTATTTTTTATATGAGGTACACACTTTGAACAGATTGCATCATCGGTGTATTTCTCGATTTATGTGTAGGTGCTACCAGAATTAAGAATAGTGAGCAATGGATGCTGCCATGATTAAACATGATGACATGGATCCAATCACCATAAACTTCGGCTGGCCAACATCCTACTTCCCCCCATACCCGATTCTAATGGGACTTGGGGTTTTGTTACTGTTTGTTATTGTTTGGATGGTTCCAGTCACGAAACACCTCCCCTACCTCATATCCTACAAAAAATATTTGAAGGAGTTGCATATCAAAATGAAGAAGCTGAATGATGCAAGAATAGATGTAGAACAGCACATGGATCGGAATAGAAGAAGTCATCTTGAGGTTCCAGCCGAAGTCGTGGGTTGGTTGGAAGAAGTAAAAAAGATTAAAACCAAGGTGGATACCACTCCTATTGACATTGGCATTTCTCTCAATCTAATGATTAGGCATCAGCTCGGAAGGAAAGCCTTCAAGATGATTGAGGAGATTGAAAGTCTCTTAATACAACAATCTCTGATGGCTTGGAGTGATGAGCCAGTTCCATTGGGAAAAGTTGATTTCATGAAGGAATCCACGTCTACCCCATCAAGTGATCACAATGAATTCAAATCAAGAGAGCAGATTTTCATGAATGCACTACAAGCACTCGGACCAAACAACAAATCCCACATGATAGCCTTATTGGGGATGGGTGGAGTGGGGAAGACGACAATGATGCAACGGTTGAAGAAGGTTGTGAAAGATAAGAAAATGTTCAATTTTGTTATCGAGGTAGTTATAGGGGTAAAAACAGATCCCATTTCTATTCAGCAATCTATTGCAGAGTACCTCAGCTTAGAGTTAAAAGAAGACACTAAAACTGCAAGAGCTCATAAGCTTAATGAACACTTTAAGGCCCTCTCAGATGGAGGTGAGATGAAATTCCTAGTAATTCTTGATGATGTATGGGGGCCTGTTAATCTCTATGATCTTGGTTTAAGTCCTTTGCCAAATCAAGGTATCGACTTCAAGGTCTTGCTGACATCACGCAATAGAAATGTATGCAATATGATGGGAGCTAGTTCAATTCTCAACATCAACATCTTAACAGAAGAGGAAGCACATAGTTTGTTCCAACGGTATGTAGAAATTTCTTATGATGCTGATCACGAGCTCAATAAGATAGCAGAAGCTATTGTGGAGAAGTGTGGTGGTTTACCCATTGCTATAAAAAACATGGCCTATGCTCTTAGAAATAAAAGCAAGGATAAATGGCAAGATGCACTTGTTCGTTTAGAGCACCATGACACTGACAATGTTGTGGCTGATGTTTTAAAAATGAGTTACAACAATATCGAAGACCAGGAGACTCGATCCATATTTTTGCTTTGTGGTTTGTTTCCTGAAGGCTTTGATGTTCCTACCGAAGACTTGGTGAGGTATGGATGGGGATTGAAAATATTTAAGAAAGTGTATACTATGAGACATGCAAGAAATAAGTTGGACACATGCATTGAGCGGCTAATGCATGCCAACTTGTTGATCGAAAGTGATGACGTTGGGTTTGTCAAGATGCACAAGTTGGTGCGTGCTTTTGTTTTGGACATGTTTTCTGAAGTCGAGCATGCATCAATTGTCAACCATGGTGATATCTCAAGCTGGCCTACAACTGCAAATGATATGAGCAGCTTGTGCAAAAGAATTTCGTTAACATGCAAAGGGATGTTTGAGTTTCCTGGAAATCTCAAGTTTCCAAACCTCTCAATCCTGAAACTAATGGATGGAGAGGAGTCACTGAGGTTTCCTGAAGGCTTTTATGGAGAAATGGAAAACCTTCAGGTTATATCATATGATAACATGAAACATCTGTTGCTTCCATCATTACTTCAATGCTCCAACGTTCGAGTGCTTCATCTCCATCATTGCTCATTAATGTTTGATTGCTCTTCGATTGGAAATCTTTTGAATCTTGAAGTTCTCAGCGTTGCTAATTCCGCCATTGAATTTTTGCCTTCCACAATTGGGAATCTAAAGAAGCTAAGGCTCATGGATTTGACAAATTGTGTTGGTCTCCGTATAGGTAATGGTGTCTTTCGAAATTTGGTCAAACTTGAAGAGCTTTATATGAGAGTTGATGATAGAGATTCGTTTTTCTTGAGGGTTGACGACCACAAGGAGATTAATTTCATGGGTGATAACTACAATGAAATGGAAGAACGATTAGAGCATGTTTCTATATTAGAATTTGAGTTCTTCCAGAATACTGCTCAACCGAAAAATATTTCGTTCGAGAATCTTGAACAATTCAAGATTTCAGTGGGACGTTCTTTGAAAGGAGCATTCAGAAAAAGAAAACACTCGTCCCAAAACACATTAAAGTTGTCCATCAAAAAAGAAGAACTATTGGGAACTAGACTGAATGAGTTGTTTGAGAAAACAGAGGAGCTTTGTTTAAGTGTGCATGATATGAATGATCTTGAAGATATTGATGTGAAATCGTCCTTACATCCTTCTCGATTCTCTTCATTCTACAACTTAAGAGTCCTTGTCATTTCTGAGTGTGTGAAGTTGAAACACCTTTTTACACTTGGCGTGGCAAAAGATTTAAAAAATCTTGAGCATCTCGAAGTTTACTCATGCAATAATATGGAAGTACTTATACATAGTGAGAGTAGTGGAGCAGAGACAATTATATTCCCGAAGTTGAAGCTTCTTTCTTTGATTTGTCTACCAAATCTATCGGGCTTGTCCAGTAATGTCAACATAATTCAGCTGCCTCAACTCGTGGAGTTGGGGCTTGCCACCATTCCAAAATTCACAAGCATATTTTCGAAGAATAATTCGGAAACATCTTGTTTCTTGAGGGAAGAGGTAAACACTTTATATTTTGTCAAAAGAATTCAAACAATCTTTTTCAGTTACATTTTTTCCTGAAAATTTTGCATTCATTTGAATAATTAGAGAAATTCCCCCCAAAAAAATATTTGTGATTTGATTGGACGGGGCTAAAGCTTGACTATTTTGCAGGTTGTGATTCCTAAGTTGGAGAAACTACATATTCGTCACATGGAGAATTTGAAGGAGATATGGCCTTGTGAATTAAGTATTATTGAAAAAATTAGTGTTTCATTGTTGAGAGCTATTGAAGTAACCGATTGTGATAATCTTGTGAATCTGTTTCCGTGCAATCCCTTGCCATTGTTGGATAATCTTGAAGATCTTCAACTACGGAGATGTGGTTCCATTAAAGTGTTATTCAACATCAACTTGGATTGTGAAGGTGGAATTGGAGAAAGCAAATGCAGCTTGAGAAGCATTCAAGTGAATCAATTAGGAAACCTAAGAGAGTTATGGAGTATAAAAGGTGTAAATAATTTGTCGAAACGTCATCTCCTCATTGATGGCTTTCATCGTGTTGAGTACATAGAGATAACAACATGTAAGAGCTTCAGAAATATATTCACACCGGTCACCACCAATTTTGATCTGAGGGCACTCAAGGGGATATGGATAAATAACGACGGAGAAACTAGGAGAAACAATGAAGTGATGAAGAGTATCAAACAAGAGCAAGAGGTATGGCTTTCACATCTTAGTTATTTCCACTGTTGCAGGGAACCAATAGTAGCTTATTAATTAAATAACAAAAAATTATTACTAGGAATGGAGAATTGAAACCTTCCTATAAGTTTATTAAAAGTTCCTTGATTTTACGGGGGGATAAATCTAACTATGTCTAATTGGTTGACCATATTCATTGTTTCCAGATATTTTTTGAAACATTATTTAGAATCAAGAAAAGCTTTCTCACCTTTAAAATTGAAGTTACTAGTCACCTTTCTTGTGGGGATATGTGCAGAATATTATATCAAATGAAGGAGCATCAAAAGTTGGTCCGTGCATATCTAATATATATTCATTTCCTAACCTCCGTCAACTTAAGTTGTGGAATTTTAAAGAAGTGGAGGTGGTGTTTGAGATAGAGCCAATAGAATCAGTAACAACTGATGATAATGAACAACTACTTACCTACCTAGAGGAATTGGATATTAGGCATATGGACAACATGAGTCATGTGTGGAAGTGCAATTGGAATAATTTTTTAATTCTTCAAGAACAAGAATCATTCCACAACCTCACAACCATACACATGAGCTCATGTAAAAGCATTAAGTACTTGTTTTCACCTCTCATGGCAAAACTTCTTTCAAACCTAAAGATTCTCAAGATAGCAATTTGTGATGATATTGAAGTAGTTGTTTCAAATAGAGATGATAAAGGAAAAGAAAATACTAGATCTACCTACACAAGCGCCACTTTGTTCCCTGTTCTTGGTTTTCTAACTCTTGCTTGCCTAAGAAATCTCAATCATATTGGTGGTGGTGGTTCCCAGCGTACTAGGGATCAATCTAAGGTATATGTTCTACCACTTGAAGTAATTATTTTCTTGATTAACTTCCTTAATCGGTGCTCATCTTTACAATATTCTCTCATATCTATCTTATTCTAGAAAATTGCACAACAACAGATATACAAGAGGTTGTAATTTCTATACCACCCAATCGACTCATTATTTAATATGCACAATCGCGAGTGTGATTCAAATTAAGGCATAACATAGGCTCATTCATTTGAATGTTATCTATCATACCATCTAGTACTAAGGTTTTTATTTTTAATTAGAAAATGTTCACCCTTCTATTAATCCTCCCAGGTTTGCTATTATCTTTCATTGTTTCCTTAATAATCACAATGGAAAAAAATTATAACTTTGTTTTACCAATTTATTGTATAAGTATAGAGTTAAACCCTTACACTCTTTAATTTGTGCTATTTAAAGGTAGGTAATTTAACCGGAAGAATGGGTTAAATGCCTAAAAAATATTGTTTTTTTTTATCAAACTAAAATTTATGTCTTCTACCAAAATGTGAAATACATAAATATTATGATTATGTGTATACTCTAATAAATTATTTTTATGATTCTTAATATAGAAGTAAGTTAAATTATAATAACACAGTAAAGGCAAAATATACTCTTATACTTTTAAGTGATTGTACTCAACTTTTTTACTTTAATTATTTGTAAAAATAATTATGCGCTTTAACATTTTAACGACAATTATGAAAAATATAAGGTGTTTGGTCGTGTAGTGTCATTTTCTTTTATGGTTGGTCCTTGGACCATGTAAAACATGCATTTTTACACTTTTTGTTTTGTGGAGGGTGGTGGGATTCATGACGCCAATTGTGGAAGGAGGTAAGGATCCGTTACTAAACCTGGAAATGCATGTTTGTATGTCTAGTACACGTGTAAGACACGAACTTACACAACAGGGATTTGGCAAACAAGAACGAATCACGAATTGTATAACGGGTCCTGGGTATGAAATACGACTGTAGTTAACTCATGTGACATGTGACTTGACACAAATTTACATGAATTTAATTCATGTCTGTACGTGTCGCGTGTCAACACAAATTTAATTTGTGTCTATATACATTTAAGGTTTTCTTTTTAAAAAACAAAAAATATGTAAACAACATATAAAGAAAATATAAAACAAAATATAAGCAAGAGAAAGAAACCACGAGACCAAGCTTGTAGCCTTTCCCATAGTTGTCCTTGTAGGGATTTAACAAACCCAAATAATCCACTATTGATAAACATCGAGACATGATTGCTTTTATTAACAAATTGTCAATCTTTCTTTAGTAATACATTAAATCTTGAAACATTAAGAACTTAATTCGTTGATTTTTTTTAAATTGTCTTTTAAAAATATAAGCATATATGAAAAATATGATGTGTACGTGTGTACATCATTTGAAATAGATGTTTTTTTTTAACTTTTTTTTTCTTCAAAAGTGCTTAAAAACTAGCGATTCAGGCCCTTTAAAACTTTTTTTTGAAAATATATACCATAGGAATAAGTTATAAATAATCACATGTGAATAGACACATACTTATTCATATATGAATATACTTATTTATATATGAATATATTTATTCGTATATGAATATTACCTTTTTGGTCGTCCCGATACGTTATACCGTTTAAGCGGTAGATTCGAAATGAGTGGTCTATATTCATTCTCGTATTTTCATATATTTTTTTTCAATTGAACTTTCATATCTCTTTCTCTCTCTCTCTCTCTCTTTCTCTATTATATATTCTATATATATATATATATATATATATATATATATATATATATTAATATATAGATATATAGATAGAGAGAGCGAGAGAGAGAGAAAGCGGAGAGAGGGAGAGAAAGCATGAGCGGTCCTAGAGTGGGGGCAATTGCCCCCACAACAAAAAAAAAATCATTAAAAAATAGGTTTTTTTTTTCAAAATTATATATTTTTGACTCATTAAAAAAATTTGCCCCCATAAAAAAGTTATAAATAAAAATTGCCCCCTTTTCGGAAAATTCTTGGGTCCGCCCCTAAGAGAGATGTAAGTTTTTTTTTTATAATGTTTTCAAGTTGCGACGTTGGTACTAGAGTCCAATTGTAGTGTTGGTTTCGATTTTTTTTTTTTTGAGAAAATACTAAATATGCATTGATGCAAATATATGGGCATTCAAATATGCATATATGTATATTTCAAAAAAAAAAAAAAAAAAAAAAAAAAGCAAAGTTTGTCAAATCTTTTTTTTAGGATAGATATGTCTTAGATGCAATATTTGAAGATTAATGATTGTCTTCGTTTTAAAAATTGATGACCGAATTAAGAGTTCTTCGCATAGTTTGAACCATCACAATGCTTTAAGGATATTAGTTAACATAATGATCGTAATTAACTAATTTTAACCACTATTAAACCAAGTCTAGATTAATTAATTTTAACAATCCTCAGCAAAAGGCACCAATCATGTAATTTGTCTTATTTGTATTGTTCAAAAGTTAGTTATAATGTTCACTTCAATTTTTGGTTTACTTTGCTCAGGTGGATGGTGTTTCATGGTCCTTATGCCAATTCTCTAGAGAGATAACAATAGTAGATTGTGATGCCTTATCAAGTGTGATTCCTTCTTATTCGGTAGGAAAAATGCAAAAGCTTCAAATACTGAAAATAGAGTCTTGCAACTCGATGACGGAGGTCTTTGAAACTCATGTTGATGAAGGAAATGGTGCTATAAAAAAATTCAATAATGTTACTATTCTTCGACTTCCCAACCTGAAGATACTGGAAATTAAAGACTGTGACCTTGTGGAACATATATTCACATTTTCCTCACTAGAAAGCCTTGGGCAACTTGAAGAGTTAATAGTAGAGAATTGCAGGGGAATGGATGTAATTGTGAGGGAAGAAAGTGGAGAAAAACCCAAGTCTAATATTGTGGTCTTTCCTCATCTCAAGTCCATATCACTCGTTAATCTACCATACCTTGCAGGTTTCTTCTTGGGGATAAATGAGTTCATGTGGCCTATATTAGACAACGTTACAATTCGTGATTGCCCAAAAATGACAATTTTCACACGTGGTTGGTCAACAGCTCCGAAGCTCAAGTATATGCAAACAAGCTTAGGCGAAGATATTAAACAATGCGACCTTAACTTTGATCAGGTATAATTTTTATTTTTCCACGTCATCTAATGAAGAAATCATGCTAAGTAAAAGCATGAGACACATTCACACTATTTTGTGTAAAATTTTAGGTTGTCACTTGAATCAATTGTGAAGGGGAAATAACCTTACATATCTTATTTGATGAGGTCAACAATTAGTAACCCAACAAAATATTTCGGTTGGAGTTATTTTTAATCTTTAAAGATTATTGTCTCTTCAGTTACAATCATCTTCTACATACGCTTCCAATTTCATTAGAACAACACTAAGTAATTTATTTGGTTTTATTGAGAATCAGTCTAAGGCAGATGCATGTTTATATATTTATTTGTGGAATAATGAGTTCTAAGGGTTATAATTTTTAGGTGTCCTTGTCATAAAAGAAAAGGAAAATTAAACAAAAGTGTTTTTTTGAATATGTCATGGCACTAATAGATTTCAATCGATGCATAACCTATAGCAGTAGAATTATTTCAATTGTGGCAGTTTGAATTACCAATCTAAATCCTCCATCAATCCTTTAACGAACATGGACACGATTGTGTTGGAGTAATTTAGAATAAAGGCTGAAGGGCATATTAGGAAACTCTCCATAATATTGTTTTTTATCCTCTGTTTTAGTATTGGACACTATTTCTATTTTCCAAGAAATGCGTGACGCAATTTTTTTTTTTAGTATAGGAGTCAATTATTATTACCAAGATCAAAATTAGGCAGCTAGTCTCTTTCCTCCAATGTTTCCAGTTTCACTTTGTTCCCCCGTTCTTCCTTTCCTCTTCTGTTTACTTGTGCGCAAAGGTTACAGCATATTTTCTGCTTATAGATTGCAATAACTAAAAATCTTAAACTTTTTGCTAGTTTTGTGGACCAGAGGGATTCTACAACTAATGTAGATTTGTAGACAATTCACTTTTCTTTACTTGAATATGTTAGATATATGTAGATGGTTTTGACTTTCTTTACTTGCATAAGTTGTTCATCAAGATATGAGTCCACGTATATAATTCTGTTGGAACTAGGATCTATGTTACCACTAACATATTCCTTGTGTATTCAAATTTTGGCCTTTACAGAGTGTAAGAAATACAAGCTCCAGCCCTGGTACTTCTGAAGAGATCCTTTCATCTTTCCTTAATGACACCAAAATCCATCTGGAAGATAATGGGACTATTAGAAAGATTATTCCATACAATGCATTGCAACAAATGCAAAAGCTGGAAGAGATTCATGTATGGAACTGTAAGTTGGTAAAGGAGGTATTCGAAGCATTGGAAGGGAAAACTAGTGGTTCTGATGATTCACAAACTGTCGTGACACTTCCCAACCTAACAAAAGTTGAGTTGGTGTTTCTACAAAATCTCAGGTATATATGGAAGAGCAATCCGTGGACAACATTTGAGTTTCCAAAACTAACAAGAGTCTCTGTTTCTCACTGTCATAAGTTGGAACACATTTTTACTAGTTCCATGATTGGTAGTCTATTACATCTCCAAGAGCTGCATATAAGTTGCTGCAACAAGTTGGAGGTAGTCGTTAAGGAAGAAAATGTTATTGTAAAAGAGGAAGAGGATATATCTCAAGGAAAAATGAATGAGATTATGTTACCGCATCTTAAGTCCTTAATACTTGATGAGCTTCCATGTCTTAAGGGGTTTTGCTTAGGAAATAAGGATTTTTCCTTGCCATTATTGAATACTTTTAGAATCGAGAGATGCGGTGCAATAAGGATTTTCACCAAGGGAAATTCGGCAACCCCAGAGCTAAAAGAAATGGAAACAAGTGTTGGCTCATTGTATGTAGGGGAAGGCATCAACTCCTTCATAAAGATCAAAGAATAGGTATGTTGATGTTTCTTGCTTTTATCATTCTTAAGGTACATCGGAAACGTTGTCACCAATGTCTATTTTCCACCTTTATATTTTTATATCTTATGCAGGAAGTCAAAGGAGACCACTGATATCGAAGGTAAAGTCTATTTTTAAATCCTCCACATTACCTAAAACCTTTTTTTTTCTATAGGTTAATGGCAGTAAAGTAATGTTTATCAGATCATAATGATGCAAATTTTTTCGTTGCATTACAGATCATGATGTCTTATTTTAGTTCTAGTTTTTGTAGAATTTAGTTCCTTACTACATTTTTTTTCAAACTAAATTGCGTAATCCTGTCTCATGATTCTTACTCGTAATTATAACATTCATTTATCATCGTTATTCCTTTAGTGATATTTTGAATATTTGGTTCTATTTTTATATTAATGATATTTGTTCGTTTACCCGTTACGTCTATGTAAAACTTTCTTCTATTATTATATTAATGATATTTGTTCTGTAATTAAACCTTCATTAACTTCTAGAAAAAAAAAACATATTCGACGGCAGCGTTCGTCGGAAATCCGTCAAATTGTTTACAGACGGATTTTATGATAGACTACCGTGGAATATTCCATCCGAAAATCACCGGCGGAAAGGGTTTGACGAGGTTTGACCTGGTTTAACTATTCCAAACCATCTTTGACCTAGTTTGATCTGATTTTGATTTTTACTACGTATATATAATAACCTTACAAAAATCTTAAACAGTTTTAAACCCATTAATTGGAAACATTACTAATAGATGACTGGGAACCAAACAAAAAACACTTTAGGATCATTATCAACATCATTTTTGACGAATGTGCCTAGATCCCGGTTTAACTATTTCCGACTGACCATATTTGACCGGGTTTGACCCGATTTCATTTTATACTACATAGATCACAAAGAAGCTAGGCTGACCGGATTTGAGTCTTTCCTACAAAAAAAAAATTCAGTCTTTAGTGATGAATATTTCCATCATAACCCATCACTATAATGATCTTTTTTTCTAAATTATAAAAACGTAAAAATCCAGATTTTTTCTGCCCAAAATGCAAAAAAAAAAAAAAAAAAAAAAAAAATTGAATGCGTTAACTGTATAATAATATTCACATTCAACCACAAACCAATAAGCATTACAGTAAGCATTTTTTCTATACATTAAAAGTGTTAAATATAATCACAAATGTTTAAAAAAGTTGTTTGCATTCCATCTCATTTTTATATCAAGGTGAGTTTGTTAGGAGGTTTTAACCATGCATTCAACTTGTTCTCGCGACTTTTGCATCTAAAAATGGTAAGACAAACATATATAGGTAGTAAATATATTATATATTTCATTTCAACCACAATAGCAATGTACTTTATTTTAATTTTCATACTGATGCGTTTTAAATTCACTAAGGCTTTAAATTTACAATCCTATCTAATTTTACCAACTAAAACACAATTAGACAGTATACCTAGTCTCGTAGTATTATAGTAAAGTAAGTAAAGAGTCGAACACATGAAACGATGACTTTAATCAGAAAATAAACATTAGTACAAAAATGGGCTTCCGTCACACGACAAATGAGTGATTGTATGCATACAACCACACATTCGTTTTCACTACTTGTGTAACCGAAGATCGAGTGACATAAAGTACATACAGTCACATTAGTGAGTTAGTAGCCGTATCCATTTCAAAAGGGTGGCGAAAGGCATAAAATGAGAGACCAAATGGTTTCAAAAGTCATGAAAAAGTGTATTTTGAATGACGTTAGTCCATCTAATTACCATATAAATATGATGTTTGTGTAGCCTTATGTATATTTGGTGACATAACCATTGGTTTTTTGGGGGGATTTCGTCACTTACAATTAAGAATGAGTGGCCTAAGTGTTAAAAAGAGTGGTCAAATGTATTAATAATCTTGAAAAAAATTATTTTAAGTCACGTTAGTCCATCTGATTTCCACATGAATATGATGTTTGTGTAGCCTTTTGTATATTTGGTGACACAACCATTAGAGTTTTTTTTTGGGGAATTTGTCACTTACAATGTAACGTCTCATTTTCACAACCAAAAATTTTCATTTTTATTAAGTTAAAACTCCATATAAATAAACCGTATTAAGAAAACATTTGCTCCAGATTACATTTGTAAAATCATGTTATATTAAAACGTGGAATCTGCATTGTTACTGATGAATGTGTACAACCACGCAACCACGCCTTCACTTTCCCTTGGTTTGTATTGTTTGAAAATTTAGTCCCGAGAGGCATTTTTGTAATTTTTGAGGCATGCATGGGTACGGTGGGTGTACACTAGGCATACGTGGTCAGGGTGGAAACCTTAATTTTTAGGGTTTGGACCCTATTTAAACATCCTTATATCCCCAAAATCCTTTCCTTCATCAGACTCCACCCCTCATATCGACCCTTGCAAACCCTAATCCAATTTAGAGCATATTTGAGCCTTGAGTATGTATTTTGGTGATCTTGAAGGAGGAAGAAGGAAGAGGAGAACATCTTATTAGAGTGAAGCACTTTGGATCTCGGATCACATCACCATTTTGCACCATTTGGAGGTAAAAAGCTCTGATCTTGATGAATTTTTACTTAGATCTTGTCTAGCCATGATTTGTGTTCATTTTGGTCCCATAAGCTTGATGTATTTGAGTATGGGTTACTCTAACCCATTTGGGCTTTCCTTTCAGATGTCTTTAAGTGTTTAGAATCATGAAAATGCAATCTTGGACCCTAGTTTTCCTGCATGCATGGTCTAGGTTGTCTTAATGAGCTAAGAAGTTAGGGTTTTTCATGTTGAGGACTTAATAGCCATGCAAGACCATATAGTTGGAAACTTTATGGTTAAGGACATCAATTGAGGGCTAAATATGGATTTTAGATGAAAGAGCTTAAAGGATTAAACTCTTAATGGAATGTAAGGATGGTAGACGCGAACGCTAGGCGTACCAAAGGGTACGTTGCGCGTATGTGGTCAGCCCCTCGATTTCTAGTCATTGCTCAGTACGCCCTGCGTACGTGTTGAGTACACCCGACGTACTCAACTAAGTTGACCCGGTTGACTCAGTTGACTTTTGACTTTCAGCAGGATTTTGACCAAGTTTGACTTAGGGGTATTTTAGGTATTTTGAGATGTAGTCTGACTTTTGGTCACTGTTATATGTAATTATGACCGGTAGAGTCGGATTTCGGAGCAGCATGTTGTTGTAGCTATTCTCGTCTATTCGTGAGGTGAGTCTCCTCACTATATCCATGGGTCGAAGGCACTAATGTCGACCCATTATTCGGTTATGTAGAATGCTAGCTTCTATGTGATATGTTTGTTCGTGTGATTAGGTTGAAATATACCCCATGCATAGCCCACTATTATATGTCGGGTTGAAATACAGCCCAGGGCGAGGTCCACTATGGCATGTTCAGGTAGAAATATACCCCAGGGTGGGGCCCATATTTGTTTATTGTGTTGAAATATACCCTATGGCGAGGCCCTAGGGCGGGGCCCATATTTGTTTATTGGGTTGAAATATACCCCAACGCTAGACCCGGTTTTACTCTGATGATTTTGATATTGCATATTGTGAATGTTTTGGAACAACTTGATGTTTGAAACTATTGATTTTAAAATGAAAAATTTTATCACTGCTTTTGGGACGTTACAAGTTGGTATCAGAGCCTTGGTTTGAGGGATTCGGGCACACTTTCGGGTATGTCAGAACTCAAACTGAGGAAATGATAATCTTTTCAAAAGAAAAAAGAAATTGAATTTTAAAAAGACTTTTACTAAGTCAAAAGGGGTACCATGTGTGCAATCAGCCGAACACAAGTAAGTGGTTCCCAAATTGCTCATACCTATGTATTATGATTGATATGCTTAATATGAGAGTTGCATGCTAGATTAGGGCTAAGGATACCTTTAGGAATCTTATGATAGTATTACCTGATTTGTGTGATACCTTATAGCCTAGGAGGATTGGATGCTATGTATTACTTGGGATTGATATTGGATCAGTTAATTGCTAAGTGTATTCTTTGAAAGTTGTATACGATTAGAATCGTATAGCCCTAGAATGATCGATTTAGCCTCATTTCATGTTCCTTGTTTGGTTGCGGACTTAGGGTAGAATCATCATTTGAAAGTCTATGTGATTCCATTTTGTGTATAACTTGCATGTATAAGGCAACCGGCGGTGTTGATTGAGGTTCTAGGTGTTGGGTTTTGAGCATTCTAACACTTCCTAAGTGTACATGCAACCCTATTAAACCTTCGATCTATGTTTGTCTAAGATACATGCAAAATATTATTTTCCAAGGTTTATAACCTATCTAGCATGGCATGGGGTACTTTTAACCATAAAAGAACTAGATGAATTACATACCTTTTGTTGATTGTTGATTCCTTGGAGTTTGAGAGCCAAGCACCAATAATGTGAATGCCTCAAATGGAAATCACAAATCACCACAAACTTGGAAAATGTATGAGAGAGTATACTAACTCTTGATTTTGGCCACCACACTTACACACACACTTAGGGTGTTTTTCATGCAACATAAGCTTGTTTATATAGTGTACATGGTTAGGGTGAAACCCTAATAACCCATGTCTTTTCCTCTTCCAAGGATCCATGGGTAAAAGCTCCATGGATCATCCATGGACTTCCATATAAGCTTAGCCCATTCCCAAATGAGTGTTAGCCCACACCATATAAATATAATAGCCCATGATTTAATTAGTCTTCCTTTTAATCACTAAATTAATTCATAATTAATTCAAGATTAAAACTAATTAAGTAACATGACTTTATATTAATATATTATAACTTATAATATATTAATAAATCGTAAGTATACAACTCTCATAAAATTATCCATAACTAGTTTGGGTGAAGTGCAACCCAAATGGACCATGTCGAGTCGGGTCAAGTATATACCAAATAAGTTATGGACTTAGACACCTTATCCAACAGACTCCCACTTGGATAAGTCTAATAACTGTATTTGCCTATATTACTTCAGGAACCAACCGGCAATCGTAGCTCTCGAAAACTCTTGTGAACTATGAAGCGCCATTTTAGATAAGTGATCATATAATCCTCTGCTCTCATGATATCAGCCGGACAAATACATGGAACAATGTCTTACTTATTGTCTAGCAGTTGTTTCTCGATTTCCGATTTGTTTGACAAAGAACTTAACTGAACACATCAATTTAGTTCTGACCGGGCCCGGTACATGGGTCAACACAAAATCATCGAGGGGCCCAGATATCGCTTCTATTTCTAGAAGGAACAGATAAACTTCGACTCATATGCTTGTTCTACTACTTATTGAATTGCACACAAAGGCACGTTTTATAACATCAAGTTACTGATGCGTTTACGTGCAATCAATGCACAACCAACTCATAGGTAACAACTCATATCTCTAGGTTTGAAGACCTATATGATATTACCGTCTCACGATCACTCGAGATAAATTCCATGAAGTGATACAAGTGAGCGTGGGTTTATTCCAATACTCATAACTTATGAGTACTCATGAATGTTGTAGCAACCATTGCTATGGCTAAACACCTTTAGTCATCTACAATCCCAATTCATGACAGTCTTGATTCATACCTACTTCCGACATAT